CTAGGCTCTGCGGTGTATACCATCAAGTATTCAGTCCACTGTTGACTGAAAGTCACTACTACATAGTACATGGCTCTATTTGAATACATTACCAGGAACAGGATGGAAGAACCTCACCACTTTCCCAATAACTGTGAACAGGGAAAAGAGATAGAAGCTAGAAAATCAGGCTTAGTTTTCCAATTAGCATATCCTTGGGGGAAATCAGTAGGAAACATTTTTTTGAAAAATACTTCTGATTTCTAATATTCTTAAAAATAAAACAAGTACCGTATTAAGTGTAGTACTTCTGTATCATGTAGATTGAACAGAAACAAGAGTGAAATTCGCATTTAGAGCCCTCCTTGAGACTGAACTACTTGTCCTTTTTCCTTAGGGAGACTTTTCAACATATTTATTTAAGTGGCTTCTGTGTGCCAGGCCTTGAGAAGTCAGTGGTCCCTGGGCTTGTGACATTTACGTTTGAGAGCAGGAAACAGACAAGCAAACAAATAAGTGATTAAGGTAACTTCACATATGAAACGTGCTAACCAAGGAATCACAACAGGCCACACACAATCAGGCCACGCACAGTGTAAAAGAGAGATTTGGGGAAGGGTAGGGGCCGGGTAGCAGAGTGAGGGGTGCTGATTTAGACTGAGGGGGGGTGCTCCCTGCATGGCATGCCCCACTGGGAGAACTACTCACAGTAGCACATGGAGGCAAGTGCTTGGCGTGCACTGGGATGGGAAAGGTGGCTGGTGGAGTTGGAGCTCATGGTGTGGCCAGAAGTAGGCAAAAGCTAAGTCAGGAAGTGCCTGGCAGGAGTCTGGATTGAGTGGAGTTCAGTGAGGAGCCACTGGAGGCCTTGCTATGTCACGTGACCCATTTTGCATTTGTGAAAGAATTGTCCAGCTGCTCCAGAGGGAATGGGTTGGAGAGGGGCTAGGAGACCCTGTCCCCCTGGGGAGGGGCTGCTGTGTTCACTGGGAAGTTGAGGACTGGGCAGATATAGATAGGCTTATTTGTTTAAAGTAGTGTGGAAAGTTTGTCTGGTTCGTAGGAGGGGTTTATAAAGGCAACTGTTAAGGCATCATTCCATTCTTAACCATGGAGCTTGCAGACATGGGGGTTTGTTCTTGCTCACAGAACCATCAAGTCATGAAGCCATTTCCACTGTCCCTGGGCACTGGGATTGCCATTCAGGGAAGGCCGTGTTTTGGTCTCTCTTCCTTCCAGTCTTTTCTGCTTGTAGCTGCCCTTCTAATCTTCCTCAAACACTGCCTCCACATGTTTACCTTGCTGCTGAGCACACTGTGTGTGTTCCCGGAGCTACTGAGTAACAGGTGAGCACTGCTGGGTGGGGTCACACACCTGAGGCTAGCTCCTGCCTCCAGGATTTCAGAATTTACTTGGGGAGATGGAGCTAACCCACATGAAATAATGGAGGGAGAACTCAAGAGATGACAGAATTAACAAAGCCTCACAAAATAGGACTGGTGTTACATCTTGAATGAAAGGGAATTTTAGCAGGGAGGCAAAAAGGTGATAGCCCATTTTCCTGGTGGAGCGAGGGGATTCACCCAAGAGACGAGTTTCTGCTTTGAGAAGCTGAGAAACAAACTCACAGGCTCAGGGTGGTGACAAGACTAGGGACATTCTTGAAAGCTGGACCAAGGATTTGGACTAAATTTAGTTGGGTGTAAGAAATTATTAAAGATTTGCCAGCAAGATGAAGTCTTCTTGACGGCTTAGCTGAGACCAGCGATCGTTTCCCTGTAATTTCCAGGTGTTTATATTATTAGGTACTTAGCTTGTAACTCTGCAAGCTAGCGTGAGCCAGGCATGGCAACTCACATCTGTAGAATCCTAGCTACTTGGAGATCGGGAGGATTGCCCTTTGAGGCTAGCCCAAGCAGAAAGTTTGCAGGCTCCCAGTAAAAAAAAAGTTGGGCATGGTTGCACGCACCTGTCACCTCAGCTATACAGGAAGCATAAATAGCAGGATTGAGGTCTAAGCCTCTCCTGGCATAAAAGTGAGACCCTATCTCTAAAATAACTACAGCAAAAGGGCTGCAGGTATGGCTCAAGTAGTTCAGGGCCTGCCTGGCAATCTCAAGACCCTGAGTTCAAACCCCAGTACCACCAAATATACCCAAAACAAACAAACAAACAAACAAAACCCCGGACTGTGTACGCACCCTGTATGTGCGCAGCATAAATGGAGTAGGTGCACAGTAAATGTCTGGTGAAAGGCACAGGCATAAGGAAGACTGATTTGGTGATGGCACGTGGCATATGACTGAGAACAAGGCCAGGAGCCAGAGAGGAATATTGCACTCGCTGTTGTCAGAGAAAACAAGAGCTTCCGTGCATCTCGGGCTGCATGGAGGTACACCTGTGACCGACAGGAGCCACCATAAGGCTACATAGAACTAAAGCAACTTCATTCACTTAGCACTCACTTACCAAATACTCAAGGTGCCCAGGGGTCCTTTCCTAGAAGCCACAAGGTGTGGCTTCTCAGAAGGTGACCTGAGTGTGTTTAAAAGCTGATTATGGTCAGGACAAAAATTGACAGGGTTAAAGAACTCTAAGTAAGAATTCAGTCACAGGGTTCAGAGGTGCAGAATGTGTTCATTCAGCCTTCCATAAATCTTTTCAGAGTGTCTTATTTGTGTTAAAGAGACTTGTAGGCACTGGAAATTTAGCAGTAAATAAAGCTGGCAAAAATCCCTGCTCTTGTGGGGTTTACATTCTGGCAGGAGAAAGACAAGGAAACCAAATAATGTAGTAGATTATAAGGTGACAAGCGTTCTAGAGAAAAATTAAGCAGGAAGAGAACCAGCATTTGGAGGTTGAGTGTAAGTTGCAGTATTACTGATAATCTTTAAAGAAAGGCTTCATTAAAAAAAGACATTTGAGGCCAGGTGCAGTGGCTCATGCCTGTTATCCTAGCTACTTGGGAGGTGGCAATCAAGCAAGATTGGGCAGTTCAAGACCAGCCTGGGTATAAAATGCTGAAGACCCCAGCTCAACAAATGGCTGGGCATGGTCATATGCACCTGTCATCCTAGCCACAGGGGAAACACACATAGGAGACTCCCGGACCAAGCCTGCCCAGGCAGAAAGTGTAAAGCAAGACCCTGTCTCAAAAATAATCAACAGTCTGACTCAGGAGGCAGAGATCAGGAGGATGGAGGTTTGAAGCCAGCTGGGCAAATTGTTCATGAGAGTCTATCTTGAAAATAAACAACACAAAAAAGGTCTGGGAGTGTGGCTCAAGTGGTAGAGCACCTGCCTAGCAAGTGCAAGGCCCTGAGTTCAAACCCCAGTACCGCCCAAAACAAACAAAAACCTAAAGATTTAAAGTAGGTGCAGAGGAGGCTGTGAAGGTACCCAGAGCCAGGCGCCAGGCAGGCAGCAGGTGCACATCCCAGAGGAAGCAGCCTACTTGGCGTTTTCAAGTGGCAGTTACAAACCAGTGTGTATGTACAGAAGCCAGGAAGAAAGACCTTTCAGAGGCCAGGAGGACTATGAGGACAACTGTGCTTTTATGTTAAGTGGCAGGGGACAGTGGGGAGTTTGGGAGCAGGTGACAGAGTGAATCTAATTCTAGCCAGTTTTTATTCTCTCTAAATTTCTTTATTTATGAAGGAGAATTACCCTAAATCAGGCTGTTGCGATAATTAAATGAGACAGGTGTGAAACATTTAGCAGAAACTTGACAAAGCAGGCACACGAATTTCTCCCGTCTGCTTGCTCTCCTCTGCCTCCCACCAGGTGCCAGGAGAGGGCGGCTGGCAGCCCCAAGGGAGCTAAAAAGGAAAGGGTGACTGGTTACAAAGCCTTGTCTAGCTGACACACCAGCAGGTATGGGACCCGGCTGCAAGAGGTCCCCCTGGCTCGCGCGGGGATGCCAGGTCCCCAGGCCTGGGACTGCAGCCGGTTTAATCGCTATGGTCAATGTCTTAACAGCGCTGCCTGATTGTGCTTACTCTAAGCCATGTGTGAACGGCCACGGGTCTGCAATGCCAAGGGCACTTCCACTAAAGCAGTCTGCTTCCGCCTGGCTTTGGAGCACCCGGTGCGTGCGACGTCGCTGTTCACAGCAAAAGCCAGGCGAGGAGCGGGACTGCGGTCGCTTCTGAAGGGCCCGGGCGGGTTCGCAGCCCGCACAAGCGGTCAGGGCCGGGGAGGACGGGCGGACACCGAGTGGCCGGCGTCGCTTCCCGGGCAGCAGACGGCAGTGGGCGACCATGCACAAGCAGGCGACCTCGCGGGGTGCGGGGTTCGCAAGGCCCCTCCGTGTAGGGCAGCCACGGCGGGGCGCGGGCGGCTCGGCTTGCCCGGGAGCAGCGCAGCCCCGCGGGGGCCGAAAGGGACAGCAGCCCTCCACACCCTGGCCGCCGCCACCCACTCGCAACCCTCGGCCAACGCCGCCGCTCCGCCCTCCTGAGACCCTCAGCCAACGCTCCCGCCCCTTCACACCGGCACAGCCCCTCCCCCTCTGCCACCGCCCTCCCCCGTCCCGCCCCCGCCAGCCCTATCCATGACCCTTGGGCCACCGCCCCGCCCCTCCAGGACCCTCCTCCGACCCCTCCGAAGCAGCCCCTCCCCCACCCTTCCGTCGCCGCCCCGCCCCTCCCCTCCCCTCCCCTCCGCTCCTCCGCGCCTGCAAGCCCTCTCCCTCCCTGTCCGCAGCCGCCCCACCTCTTCGCGACTGCAAGCCCCTTCCCCATCCCTCCGCAGGCTCCCCTCCCCAGGCACCGCAAGCCCCATCCCCGACACTCGGCCGTCGCCCCGCCCCTTTCTGCCCTCTCCCGCCGACCAGGCTCCTCCCCGTCCACAGAGGCCCCTCCTACTCCTCCGGCCTGGACCCGCCCCTCCCCGTCGCCCCTCCCCTTGGGGGCAGGCCCCGCCCCCGCCCCCGCCCCTGCCGGCTCGACAGGCTCCGGCTCTGCGCCCAGCGCCGCGGCAGCCGCGGTTTGCTCGCCCGCCACGCCTCGCCCCGCCGCTGTCCCCGCCGGCCCAGCCCCTCGTTCTCCCGGCCGAGCTCCCCGCCTCTTCCCTCACTCTCCGCCCCACCCCCCCGCCGCTCCTCCCGGCGCGCGTCGGGAGCGGAGTCGAGCGCGGAACGCTTCGATCGCCCTGCCCTCTGCGGCCGCCCGGCCCCGACTCATCGGTGCACTCGGAGCTCGACTTCCCTAGGCGGCGGCCGCGGCGGCGGAGGCAGCGGCGGCGGCTCGGCCCGGAGTCCCGGCCCCCGCCATTTCGGACCGGGAGCGAGCGCGGCGCGGCACCGAAGGCAGCGGCGGGGGCCCGAGGCTCGCGGCTCCCAGGTGCGGAGAGAGGTAGGGCGCGGCCGTCTCCTGGGCCTCGCCGCCGGCGTCCGGGTGGGGCTGGGGCGAGTGAATGAATCGGGGCGCGGGCCCGCCGGGAGGGCGGCCGGGCGGGGGCGCCGCTTCCTGGGCCCGGGGCCGCCTTCCTTACCCCGGGCCGCGGCCCAGCGCTCGCCTGCCGGTCGCACCCGCTCTTTCGCCTTGTCGCCCTGTCGCTGCGGCCCGGTGCCCCGCACCCCGCCCGCCCCGCCGCACCCGGCATCTCCGGCCCGAGCGGAAACTTGTCCCCGCGCGGTCTGCGGACCGCGGCCGGTCCCGGGTGCGGGGCGTGTGGAGCTGGCTCTGGGGGGAGGGCTCTCCAAGTGCTGGGGGACCACTATTGTGCTGAGAAAAAGGCGACTGCCGCCCGCTCCCCGCCGCTCCCCTCCCCCATGTGCTGCTGTGACATTGCTGCGGCCACAAAGGAGGAGGTGGAGGTAGGGGTGGCAGGCGGTGGAAGAACAGGTGGCCAACACCCTACACGTAAAGCCGGTGATCTGCATGAAAGAAAAGTTAATCCCACAAGGTCTGCTTTGCCTTGTCAAGTTCAAGTACACGAGAAAATCCCACAGCAGAAGCGGTCATTTTCCTTGACAGTTGGGTGCTGATAGCAGGAGCTGAAACAGTGTTGAAATTTGAATTTGCCTTCCCTTGTTCTTCCTCCCCTCCTCTGTATTACCTCCGTCCTGGCAGATGTGTGACCGGTCCCCTTTCAACTGACTTAAAAGGGGACTCAGTAGTAACATTGGACCATAACCATGTGAAGTACAAGGCCTGCGTGTTACAGCTCAGGTCCTAAGCCAGCCGTGTCAAAAACTTGGTGTCATTGAAGAAAGAAGTTGAAAACGGAAAGGTGTTTTATAATTGTTACACAGTGTACAAGTTATGTTTGTAACAATGCGGAAGATCATCTACAAAATTATAAAGGGAAAAAGTCGGCTTGTAATAATCATCTCAGAATTAACCAAGTGACTGATGTCACTGTTAAGTGACTAAGGGACAAAATGCTGACTCCCGTATGTGACAGAAAGTAGATATCAGGTACGCTTAGTATCAGTATGCTTACTCTGAGGCTAGCCATCCACAAGCATTCTGGATTTTAAGAGATTGTAGGTAGTAATTCAGTTTTGTGACAAAAGTGAACTTTTTGTCTTAATACTGTTGGGGGCTAGTCCTGGTTACATCCCTTGCTACCTTTCCTAACTTTGATTGAGGGGACCCTTTGTGGCCTGTGATCTTTGAATGAGATTCTTTGGAACCCATTTCCTTCCAGTGGATTTAAATATTACTTGCTTATAAAAACCTGGCTCAAGGATTTTTTTTTTCCAGCAACAGCTTCTGCATAAACAAGTGGAAGATCCATGTCTCTGATCAGCTAATCTATAGTCCATTATCCATCCACAGTATATCTCAAATTAGCAAATTTTACCCTCCTAAAAATTGTTGAGGGTCTCGAAATTCTTCGGTGTGTTTGGGGACTTATATTTGCCATGTTAGAAAAAACAATTTTAAAATGCTGTCGATGTAGAAGTAGAAACAATATGGCCATTACTCAGTAACAGGAGTAAACTTTTAAAATGAAAAACAAGTATTTTGTAAAGCACACTGAAAAATTTAAAGCATGGTGTTGCTTCACACATTAGCAAGTCTGATAATTGCGTTCCTTAATAGGAGACATGTGTCTTCTCATATCTGCATCTCATATCTCCATGTGCAGCCTGTGGTCACAGTCTGGAAAACCCACTGGGCGCTTGTGAGACAATGGTAGTGAAAATGCTCTGTAACATCTTAGTGTAATCAGGAAAATGGTTTTCACCTCTTGCCCCAATTCACGGGTTCCTGAATTGCTCTTCTAGACTCCAAACTGTTTTGGAGGTGAGCAGAGGACACATTTTGATGTGGTTCTGCTTTCTATCCCATATGCCATGACTACATTTAGAGAGGAGGAGGGGCAAGCAGGGCCAGAGGTGTTTGATGGCTATGTACACAGCCTGGACCAGCAGCAAGTAGGGCTAGGCGGGCAGAGCAGAGCAGAGCAGGAGCTGGACTGTGTGGGGCTGGCCCACGGGTTCCTAGACTGGTGCTCTTTGTAGGGGCTCAGGAATACTGTGAGGAGCTTTGTGTCTTGGTAAAACAAATTCCTTTTTTTCTCCCTCTTGGCTCCTGTTAGAATAATTCTTGTTCTTCAGTACAGAAGAGGCTACATGTATTTAGTGTTTATTTGCAGTATATTCACATTGATTGGGAAGTAGTTATCTTACAATAAATAATTGTGAATTTCCTGCCATTCTTTTTGCTTTTCATCCCTTATTTGTAATAATAGGTTACGTGAGGGAAGGGAGATAAAATTAAACATAACTCATTTTATTTCAAAAAGTTCGTAATAGCTGACTAGAAAATATCAGATGTTTTCTGTCAGGTGACTGTCAGTGTACAAATTGTCACTATTTCTTGCACCTGTTAACAGGTAATGTGCTAGAAGCACAGTAAAGTCACATGGAGAAAGAGCCACTTCTGTCTGTAGAATGAATAGTGTTTGTATCTGAATTTACTTGTATCTTTTTTGTACAGAAGGCTGGTTTTCAGCACTAATGTAGGGTTATGTATTGATTATCAGATCACCTGTCATCAAATACTGTTCTTTACCTGCTTTACTGTCTACATTTTGGTTTCCCATGACACAGTCCAGATTTGATACTAGGTTCCTGTCTAACTCTTGCTGTCTATCCAGGAGAACTACTCTGATGTTTTAAAACGTTTTCTATAGCTGTTGGCTTCAACAAAGACACTCTTAGAATATCTACTACTACCTCTTGGTGGCCAGATCACCTAGGAGTACTGCAAGGGTAGGGTGGGGACTGCTGTCACCAAATTTGTGTGGGTGTGTCTACAGGGTGTACAGCACTGAGTGAGACACTTGTGCTGAGTGAGGAAGTCATGAGCTGTGCAGAATAGCAGTCTGGCTTCTGAGATAGAACAACCTGAATATAAGATAAAAAATTTGGCTATGCTATATGCCTTTATCTTAAATGCTGTCAAAGGAATTTGTAAATGAAGTACACTCACTTCTGTAGTCAGTAGAGGTTTTCATCATTGAACTTCAAAATACCTTATACTTTTTCACTTAAAGGTGAGTTTGTGTTCAAAGGTATTGATAGAATGTTTGAACCTCATGTGTGATACATGTTCTAATTTAGTCACATTTTCATGTTTTTATTATAAGGCCTGCTGAAAATGACTGAATATAAACTTGTGGTAGTTGGAGCTGGTGGCGTAGGCAAGAGTGCCTTGACGATACAGCTAATTCAGAACCACTTTGTGGATGAGTACGACCCTACGATAGAGGTAAATCTTGCTTTAATATGTACATATTGCTGCTTGTTGCAGGGCCATCCTTTGTACAAAAAAGATTTCTCTGATCACTTGGGAGTACTTATTAGAAGATAATCATACTGAAAGCTGCTTGAGAGATGTGAAATGCCTCTGGGTTCCAGCCTCTAACTGAAGTGATGCGTACCTTCAGAATGGGAGCCCTGCTTCTCTCTGGAGTGTACCAAGGCCCATGACATGGCATATGTGTGTGCTTTGCTTAGAAGTATATGTCAGGATTTTGTGAGAGGGTGAAAGTGTGAATTTGCATTTTATCTGTATCTGAAAGTCATTCTTTTGAATGTAGCATTTATTTTTATGGGTTTCCTATATATTGATTTGACAAGTAGAAGTATGAATTGTACTGGTGAAATGTATGCCCTTTGATGGTTGAATTTTTTATACTTAGTACAACGTAATTAGTATGCTTTTTTGTGATTATTTTTAGACTTTGTTAGTTTCATGAAAATTTACCAAAGTAAAGGCCAGCAGCAAAATGCTTGAATAGAGGTCAGGAGGAGATCAGCTAGCATGTTATTGCTTTCTGTCAGCTCTAGACTCAGATATCCCAAGTACTGAGGGTCTGTTTCATCTCACAGATCTGGAGGAGGGGATGTCCCATAACTGCCTTTGGTAACTCATTTTCAGAAGTATTTTCTGCGTAATCTAAGTCTTATGTTTCACCTCTAGTGGAGGTGAAATACGTACATCCCCCCATCTTTGAAAGAGCCTTATGTGTCAGGTTATTTCTGAGGCATCTCTACCTCAGGTTCAGCAGTCCAGATCCCTGGGGCATTTTCAAATGTACCAGTTTTCTTTAAGTCCCAAACTGTGGACTCTAGAACAGGTCAAATGGCCAGCGAAGGTCTGTGGTATGTAGTGTCCTAAAGAGACACTTTGCACTGAGTGGCTCTGAGGACTTTGGTGAGCCTAGGCCAATGTTGATGCAATATAGAGCTTTAAGGATTGGTTAGATAACTTCATAAGGAAGTGTCAACAAAAAAGGAAGAAAAAATATTTATTTGCAGAGATTTGCTTTAGACATAAAGGTGACTTTTACTTGACTTCCAAGTTTAAGAATTTGCATCAGTAAAGGGAGAAAATCTAATTTAAGGGGACCTCCTGTGTAACAGTCTGTCTGTTTGCTTCTACATCACTTCAGTGCTTCCTGTAGCTTTCTTTTTTCTTTGAGAAGATTGAGAAGCTTACCTGTTTCGATCTATATTCCAAATCCAGGGTTACTTGGTGTACTCTTCCAATTAAATCAGATATAAAAGGAAGCTTTATAGGACACAGGTTAAGCATGGAGCTTTCCTGGGATTTAGAAGAAGATTGTAGCAGAACTGCCCTCTGTCTTCCCTGCAAATCTGAGAAATGCCATCATGCTGTTTCCTATCAGAAGTCGTGAGTGCTGTATGAATGCATGCGGCATGAGGTCACGAATGCACAAAGGTGATTCAGAATTGTTAGGTAGCTGATCTGTTACTTGTGGGGAAGGTAGAAAAGTTTAGACTGAAACACATAACTGATGTTGATTTCTCCAAGCCAGAAGACTTGACTGTGGGCAGCATTGATTGCCTGTGAACTTTGAAACTGACATTCCCTCATTTATTCAGCCACCCGGGGAAAGGTATCTGAGATTAGCATTTATCTCCCCATTTGCAGTGAGGCCTAGGGAACTGACTACAAGGTCTTGGTGTAGCTCAACTCTAGGAAAGGCAGGAGATTCAACTTTGTGGTTGAGTAGGGAGAATTGGTTGAAGGGATGCTGAGTCCCTGTAACTGTAAGAACTGAAGTAGGAGACTTTGCTCCTGTCGGGTTTGATTAGAGACCAGTGAGAGCTGGAGGAAGTTAGACACGGCCTGGACCTTGTCACGTGAAGTTCCCATTCGCTTCCCATTCGCTTTCCTGCATTCAACAATACAAGTTTTCAAAAAGTCAACCACGTAATACCTTTCATTTGGTGATTTGAGAGAATTATGCTATGAGGTAGACAAGAAAGGGTGCTCATTCTTTTGTTGTTGTTTTATGAATAAACATGGTCTATTTGAGAGGTTTTTAACTCACGTAAGGATACTTAGGTAGTAAGTGGTAGGATTTGAATTTAAATTTTCTGAAAACCAAGTGGAGTTTCCACTTGTATCTTGTGTAACTTCTTAAAAGCGAAAAAATGTGCTGTCTTTCCAAGTAGATGCTCAATAATATGGACCAGTTCAGATTTATCAATATGCCAGACTCTGAATTTACCCTTCTAATGATGACTTACTGCAGATAGACAACACAGAATTAAACAGCTGCGCACAATGTGTTTATATTTGAAGCTAGGTACAAGGTGATCACCTTGATTTCTATTTTGAAAGATTTTATTTTTGTTTTTTATGAAGTCCACCAAAAAATTTCAAAGCAAAAACGAGGCAGGTTGCATGGCTCACGCCTGTAATCTTACAAGTGTAACCCTCATCGATCATGAGGCTTGATCTTGGAGGCCAGCCCAGATAAAAAGTTAGCAAGACCCAGCTCAAGCGATAGCTAGGCATGGTGGTGTGTACCTGTTATCCCAAGAAAGCCTGAATAATAGGATCACAGTGTAGGCTGGTCTGAGTAAAAATGCAGGACCTTATTTCAAAAGTTTCCTAAAAGCAAAAAGAGCTAGAGTGTGACTCAAGTGGTAGAGTTAGAGCGACACCTGACTTTAGCCCCAGTACCACCAAAAAAAGAATGGAGAATGAGTAAAATTACCTTGTTAGCTGGCCACATCATTAAAATCTCAGAGCAAGTCCCTAAACACAATACTTGGCTAGAAATACCTGCTTTGATAGTTTAGAGGTCACTTATATCAAAACATAGTCCCTAAAATATTTTTTTCCCAAGATAATATTTGATGGAAGGAAAGCATCATGTTTTTTAAAAATAGGTAGTTATAGAGAGCAGTTGATCATTTAGTAAATATGCATTGTCTCCTGCATACAATAGGCTATTAAAAATAAATACAGCAAGAAGAACTTTTCCTCAGGCTCCAGTTCTTTGACATCTGCATATCTTCGTTAATGTCATTTATAATCCAGTGCAAATATTATGTCCTTTGATGGAACAGTGTCCTGATACTCAGTAAGGAAGAGTGACTTCATAACTAGATTGATTTAGTTCATCCTTTTTTTTTTTTTTTAACCATACTGGGATTTGAACCCAAGGCCTCATGCTTGGTAGGCAGATGCTCTACCACTTGAGCCACTCCACCAGCCCTTTAGTCCACCTTCTGTGCTTGAGCTATGGATATCTATTTGCCGAGGTTTATTAGGTTCTCTAGTTCTTTTATTTGTCCATCTTAATTATAGAATTCATTTTACTTGTAGAATAAAGTATTTGGATTATAATAGAGAAAAATTATAATCTTAATTATATTAATAATATTAAATCAATATAGAAGAGTGATATAGAAAAAGCTTTATATAGTATTGTCAGGTGCTGTTTCTGATTTTATATGTATTATCAGTAGTTACCAATTAGGGGTGGGCCAGTGTCTGCTCTTCAGGAGCAACAGTCAGCAACATCTCGAAACATTTTTTATTATCACAATTTGGTGAGGGATGGCTTCTGCTGGCATCTGTAAGGTAGAGGTCAAGGATGCTATTAAACTTCCTACAGCAAAAAATTATCTGGTCCAAAATATTGACAGTACTGGAATTGAAACCATGATGTGTGTTACATATCTTTTTTTTTTAATTCATTTATTCGTATGTGCATACATTGTTTGGACTTTTAAATTGTCAGATTTTAAATTGCAGGTTCATGCCCCGAGGGTAGATTTTGTTAGTTTTACAAAAGACTCTTTTGTAAGTTAATATCCATGATATTAGCTTACTCTTGATATTCTGTTAAAACATTCTGTTTTCAAAATAAGATACAAACGGCAGTTTTGTAAGTGCAGTTCTCAGCAAGGCTGTGGCAGCTCTCTGCCCTTTTGTGAGTGCCCTCTACTGGTAACTTACTTGCTTTTATAATAGTAACAATAGTAAGTTTGGCTATGTTCTATTTTTTAACCTGTACTTGTATTCTCTGGTTATATCAGTTTGTAAATAACATCTTTATTTAGGAGTCTTACGTAATCGATATAAAAAAAATTAAAATAGCCGTTTTACTCTACAAATACTGTAACTCTACAGTTTTACTCTACATATACTCTACAAAGATTACTGTGTGTAAACTGAGTAGGCCTAACTCCTTGCAGAAGTGGGTGAGTCTACTAAGATAGGGCAGAGTGCAGAGCCCAGGGAGGCTCACTGGTGACGCTGGTTGAGCCCTGTTCTCAGCGAGACTGGAGCTTGTCTGTGTGTGCTCTGTAGCTCCTTCTTGGGATTTAAAGCCTTGTGCCAGGTGATAGGCCTGTGCACTGAGGCAGAGTGATGCTCACCTTGTGTGGGTCTGTGGGTTGTGGAGGGTCATGGAGCAGCTGACTTTTAGGTCAAATGCAGGCCCTACATCTAGGTTAATTTACGAGTAAGTGTTTACTTAGTAATAGTAATGTCAAAGTGTATGGGACATGCACTCTACCTGAAATTTTTTTATAAATACAAAGCTTTAAAAGCAGGTACCTAAAAGCTAAGATTCTGATTTTAAGGCTGCATGTCCTCCTAAGTCAGAAGAAGTGATCTGGTGCCTGCTTTGTCCCATACAGTTCTGGGGTATGGAGGAGAATGGACTAGATCACACCTTCACAAGCCCCATCTTAAATGCGCTTGGCAGAGCACTGCCTGAGTCAGTGACCCTGGGATTTAGGCTTCAAGAAAGCATGAGGTTCCTGCATTTCTGACCTTTAGTGTCTCATAGTGTCTAGACTTGTGGGACATTTATATTATTGTAATCTTCATGTGATAGAATTAGTAGGACTACTGGTCTCACTGTGTACTTCCACCTCATCAAAGGCTGCTTACACTACAGTGGCAGAGTGGAGTAGTTTCAACAGAAAAACCCTAAA